ATAATATAGGAAATACTAATGCTCAGGGTGATTTTGAAAAATCCTTTCTTAGTGAGCACCTAGAAGCCAAGAGGAACATATGTGCCAGATTTCAAGTTTGTTCCGGAGATTTTGTGATAATGTATGAATGGCCTTTTGCAGATAGATAGATGATAGATTAGATAGATAGATAGATAGATAGATAGATAGATAGATAGATAGATAGATAGATAGATGATAGATAGAGAGATTGATAGAGAGATTGATAGATTGATAGAGAGATACAGTGATAGATAGAGTGATAGATAGATGGATGATAGATTTGTTTCTGGAAAACTCTGCCCTTTGATATGGCCCAAGGACTAATCAATTAATGAAAAGACAAACCCCCATTTCCCAACACACACGTTTCCCACCGAAATACAATCCCAACGGTGTGCCAAAGGCGTAATATCTTGTTTTATTTTGCAGAATTTGCTGGCAGTGACGGTGGTAAAGGCAGGATGATGGAGAACACGGCACTGGAAAGTTTAATTGAGATGGGCTTCCCGCAGAACCGAGCGTAGGTCTCCCTCCCGGCAAAGCATGGGATAGGTGTGGGAGGAGGCTTCACCTTACAGGTTATGCAAAGGCACACCTGTAGCGTGGGAGGGTGCTTTCTTTTTTTTTTTTACTGAAGCTTTTCTGGGCTGTGAGGCAGCTGGATGTGGAGAAAACATGGAAAAAAACAGAACTGTGGGCTCCTTGGGGCTCTCTGAGCTTGGTGGTTGTTTTGCAGACGTTTCATGACCCAACTAGGTAACACCATCAGTGCTAGAAGGGAGAGGAGTTTGCTCCCTGTTGATATGCAGTGGCTTGTACAGTGTCAGTGTTGACAAGGGTGTTCTTGGTGCTTGCTTGAGTTGCACTGAGTTGTAAACTAACACTATTAAAGGCAAGCTATTTGTGTATAAATAAAAAGTAAACGTCCACCCTCCCTTTCAGCACTGATGATGTTCCCTAGTTGGGTCTTGAAATGCCTGCAGGAAAACCATCAAGCTCAGAGAGCACCAAGGACCCCATAATCTTCCTCCCTCCCCTCCACACACCCACTCCCTTCTAGCACTGATGATGTTACCTAGTTGGGTCATGAAACGTCTCAAGAAAACAAGCTCAGCACCAAGGACCCCTTCCTTCCTTCCTTCCTTCCTTCCTTCCTTCCTTCCTTCCTTCCTTCCT